CTCTAGCCCGGGCAACACAGTGAGACTCTGTCTCAAAAAAAAAAAAAAAAGAGAGGAGAACCCAACTCACAGATCTCATCAGTGTGGGGAGCTGAAATGAAGCTACCTGCATAAAACTAAGATTATGAAATACTCTATTACTTATAAAATATGGACTAGAAAAACTACTCCCTGGCCTGCAAAAGTAGCAAAGTAATTTGTCATCTGGCAACAGGGGTAGAAATAGTCACCTGAAAAAATTGGAATCCCAGGCCAGTACCACATGCTGGCATGTGACCCAAATTCATAGTCTTCATAGTATTAGGACCAAAAAAGTGAGGCAGGATGACTTAAAGGCAGTGTAACCCACAGAACTCTGTTACATGCAAATACAAAACCTTGGAGGGATAATTTATCAAGACAGGGTACACTGAATCTCCACTACAAACAATTCTTATCAAGGATGTGCTTATGGCAGGAATTTGCAAACCCCATGAAGAAACAAGCCGTCATGGGGAAGGTTCAGCACATGAGTCCTCACCCAAGAATTAGGAATAATAGGGCAACAAGAAACATTAAAATTATTATGTTTAATATATTCAAAAAGATAAAGGAAGTGAAATAAAATATCCAAAAGGAGCAAGTTGATTTGAAAAAGAACTGAGTAGAAATTCTAGAAATGAAATATACAGTCACACAGGATAGGTTGTATATAGATTAAACACAGTGAAGAAATCTGAGGAAAGCTCTCATAATATGTAAAGCTATGTATGTTTAACATGAAAGAAAATTTATGAGATATAAAAGGTAGACGAGAAAGTTCAATACATCTCTAGTAGGAGTTTTGGAAGAAATGAATAGAAAGAACGGGAAAAGTAATATTTGAAGAGGTAATGGCAACGAATTTTCCATAATCGAAGAAAGACAGATCATCAAATTTGAGAAATATACAGAATACTGAAAGGAATAAATAAAAATGAAATAATACCTAGATCGTGAAAATTACAGAAAACTTTAAAGCTTACAATAGAGAAGACAGATCACTCCTAAAAAGGCATAACAAAAATTAGACCAATGGCCAACTTCAAATCGGCAGCAATAGACAATGGGTTATTGTCAAAAGAATCATTACTCCATTAAACAATAATTCAGAGTCATGTAATGATATTTTCAGACCTATAATAACTGAGAGTTAACCATTCCTGCATCTTCACTAAAAGATTAATAATATAAGATTGTATGTCAACAAGAAAACTGAACCCAGTGGTAAGAAGGAGTAAGATGTAAGAAAGAGAAGTAAATAAATTACCAAACAGGATGAAAAATCTTAGTAAGTATTGACTCCTGAAAACACTATTTCAGTGGGGATTATATAAAGACAAAGCAATACTAAGTATTAGACAATAACAAAAAATATGAGTTGACCTCTTCTAAGTGTTGTTTTGGAATGGGCTGGACAGGATAGGTTAAGAATGCATGGTAACAATTTAAAGGTAACTAGGTAAATAATAAAATTAGAATTTATAGCTTCAAAACTAGTAGAAGAAAAAATTACAACCAATCTGACAGAAGGTGAGAAAGAGGACAGAGAATGAAGAGAGAGCATGATCAATAGAAACACTAAATAAAATATCAGCAATAATTCCAAATAAATTGATAGTCATAATAAATATAAATGGATTGTCAGCCATCTACTAAAATGAAGACAGCAGATTGAACAGCAGATTGTTAACAATATTTTATGGGAAATACAAACATGATTGAATACACACACACATTCATATATACATATGCTTATGTACATATGAACATAGAATAAATCACCAAATCTTATTGCTACAATGCTGAGTTTATGCCATTGTAGCAAAGGTCAGAATTGCAAAAGGCCTGTAGAGGGTTAAATTTGTCATCCACAGCAAGATGATGTGCTGTCTGCCCCATTCAGAGACCTCTGAATGATACACATGGTTTTCCCTGTCCTACTTGGTGTTGCTATATCTCAGAATAGCCTTGGCGAGAAACAGGAAGAGGTGTTACCATTTAGTTTCTGATGCCAAAGAGCAGCAAAAAAAAAAAAAAATCAATTTTAATTTGGTATGTAAGACCAAAGTTGGTCAACAATATGCTAAGCATATTACTATCGTAAAAGGAAATATTATCAGTGTCATAAGAAAACACATTCTACAACGACGATCAAAAGAAAAAACATTTTCAAAAAGTAACTTGCATAATTCCTCTGCATTTTTCTCTCATTGCTGTAATTAGTTATGTTTGGTATTGAAAGCAGTGCAAAATCTAGTGTTAGAAGTTGTCTGAGAGATGGTAAGTTAAGATCCAGGGTTCTGTAGGCTGAGGCCACACAGAGCCCTTGAACATGTGGACGTGCAAGTGTTCTTCCGTGTGTGTCTTGCAGGGTGGAGTGTGTTTGAGTTGTGGGAAGGTCTGCTGTGTTTACATTAACTAAGCCCAGTGGCTCTCAGCAAACGGATCTTTATATTAGAATCATCTGGGGGTCTTTTAACAAAATTCCTAAGACAGGCCACACCTGTCTTAAATCACAGCCCCTGTGGGTGGGACACAGGCATCCACGCTCACTGGAGCTGCCCAGGTGATCCCAGCATGCAGTCAGGTTTGGAGACCAGTGCCCTAAGGACAGCGAGAGAAGTAGCTTCCAAACTGAAAGAGACTCATGACTTAGTGATCTGGTATATAGCAGAAAGCTTAAACATCAGGCTAGTTCCAAGATACCTTGTCTACTTTTTTCCAAGAGGGTTTCTTGCTTTCTCCTTTCTGAGCCTTTCTCTTCCTCACCCCAGACTAAAAAGCTTAAATATCAAAAGTTTAAAAATAAGGCCTAATAGTCTCATTACAGTCAATTTACTCCTCTCAAGACCATCCAAACTCATACATTTCCAAACCAAAAGAAACACACACACACACTTGCAACACCCACATACCTGGCTCACCCCTAGTAAATAGCAGACTGATGGTATTTGCTGGTTCTCTGAAGGAAACACTAGTCTCTTCGTCTTCATGATTATGATATTGTGCATTAAATAGATAAATATATCTTTCAATTCGGAGGGCTCCTCCGGACATTGGGGGTGGGGAGCAGGGAGGATGGGGGGCGGAGAGGGAGGGAGGGAGAGAGAGAAAACGCACACCAGCGAGCTCACAGTTGATTTACTGAATGTTTTTCTGTCACCTAATGGGCACTTTAGAATATGCTTTGCAAAATTCATCTTTGTAACCACAGTGCCTGTCATACAGAGGGACCCCAAGAGTGAATGGTTTGGAATCTTCTTATTTTTATTTACAAAAGCTTTGGGGGCATTGCCAACTGCACACCGAGCACCCAGACATGGATGTTTGTAAGTGATCTTTCAGAGGACCAAATATTCCCTGCAACAAGCTTTCTACCTCAGTTTAATTCTTATGAGCACCCCTACCTTTGTTTTCCAAATCTAGATGATCAAGGATAGTTCCTAGGTATATAATGTAATTAACAGGCCATGTACTCTGTGTGCCTTTCAATGCTGTAGCGCACCAGGGCTCAGCGATGGGACCTCTTCTCTTTTCTCTCTGCTTCCTTGATGATCTCTTAGGCCCCATGCCTTGAAGTACCATCTACACACAGATGACTACAGTGTTTGTATCCTCCAGGTCAGACTTTCCCACTGAATCTCACAGGCCCAACTGCACTGCCGACATCTCTTCTTAGATGCCTAATAGACATCTCAATCCTAATTTGTCTAAGTCTTGGCTTGTACTTTCAACGCAAACTCTGCCCCCCAAGGCCACCACCCACCACCCCAACACACACTCACAAATTCACCTCAACTCCTCTGGCAGCTTCTCGTCCCAATAAATGGCAATTCTATTTATTCTTCAGTTGCTCAGGCCAAAAACATTGGGGTCATTCTTGATTCTTCTCCATCCATCAGGAAATTCTCTTGGGTATTTCTGGAATCATACTACTCACCATTCTACTGCCACCACCGTGGTCTAAGCCATCGTCTCTCACCTAGATTATTGCAGAGGCCTCCCAATTGGTCCCCTACAGTCTACACTCAAAAAACAGCGAGAATTGTTAAATCCTAAGTCAGATCATGTCACTCCTTTGCTTAAAACTAGCCATTGGGTTCCCATCTCTCCCAGAGTGAAAGCCAAAGTCCCCACAATGGCCTACGTGGCTGTGTCTGACGCCCATGACTTGTCCGACCTAGTCTGGTACCGCTCTCCCCCCACTGACATTATCACTCCAACCGCCCAGCCTTCTCCCTGCAGTTCCTTGACTGCATAGGCCCCTGCAGGGACCTTCATGCTGTCTGCTCTCTACTCTCTTTCTTCCCCTCCTTTCTTCGAGCCCTTAACTCAGATGGAGCCCACCCTGATCTCTCTTTGCTTTCAAGGCAGCTTCTCGTTCCCTTTACCGCCATTCAACGTCTTACCTCCTCTTCCTTTTCCTCTCCTTAGCACGCACCAACATCGAACAGAGTCCATATTTCACTTATGTCATTTGTCTCGCTCTCCCCTCCCCTTCCTGCCCTGCCCCTCTGCAGAGTGGGAGGGTTTTCACCTGTGCGTTCACTGCGGTTATCTTCTGCCCCTGCACTGCTGGACACAGAGCTGGAGCTCAATATTTAGTAAGTGAATCATACATTTACTTAATGTTAATGGGTGGGAGAAGGTACTACATATTTAACAGATTGGAAAAATATGGAGAGAACAGACTTGTATACTATTTGTCTTTATTTCCTGCTTTTAGAGTGAATTATCCTTCATTTAACATTTTTCTCATTACATCTCTAGTCATTTTAATTAACTCCTTCACTGAAACATAGCATTGTAATCTGTATCCAAATAACACACTGCACTTGGCATTTAACTTTAAAAAGGTAAATAATACCTAAAATTTTCTAGAGTTCTTTTACTTTTTATGTAGAAAATGGACCAGGTTAAAATGCAGCAAAGAATGGGGGCTAGGTAGCAACACAAGAGCTAGTTAGCACTGTTTGCCTGGCCCCCTGCTGGTCCCCCTTCCTGCTTCCACCTTTCCCTCTTCGTCTGAGGTGGGCTTAACATCGAACCTCTGGTGTGAGCAGAAAGAAGACACCCGGAGCCCCACTCCTCAGCTCAGATGCAGAGCTTCACAGAGCAGCATTCAACACCATTTCCCTAGGCCCAAGTGAACTGGCCCACCCCAATCTGTGATTCGCCCTAGTGTGTGTGTGGGTGTCGGGGGCGGGGGTAAGGTAGAGCAGGGGAAAACGTGAAATATGAATAAACAAACACATGTATAACACAAAGCACTACTGCTCCTTGGGAGTTACTGACAGAACATCACCTGGCAGGAATTTTCTTTGTTTTCAGTATTAAATCATGCACATGCACCCAATTACCTCTATGTGTGTCCATGCCTGTCCCATTAGGGACTTTCCCAACTTTCTTTACATCATGGCCGATGATGTAGAACGTTCTTTCTTTGAAATTCTGGTGGTGACCAGCCTGGAATCTCCAGCCACCTTAGGTCCTGCCCAGCTAGCCACCCAGAAGGCTTCCTGAATTAGTCTGAGGCAAACTACTCCAGAAGCTCTACATTAAAGAAGCAAAATTCAAGGCTAACGTGTTCTCAGGGGAGCACTCTTGAGTAACAATGTGAGCTCCCTCTACCTCCAGCACATCACAAAGCGCTACATACATTGAATTGCGTTAAGTGACAGCTCTGGCCTTTTGGATAAACACAATCAAATATAGGTTTTTTTTTATAAACTCCCCTTCCAGATTAACTACTTTGATCCCTTTGTGAGCTACTAAAACATCTATTGTTTTAGCTAGCCAGCTTTTCTGAACCATACTAAAACATTTTTAAATAAAAACTTAAAGCAAATTACTCAAATGTCAAGTAAAAAAATAGTCTTTAGATACAAAGTATGGCAACCCAAAGTGACATTCCAAGTTTATTTTCATACAGGATAAAAGAGATGAGAAATGCAAATTTTCTAAAGCATGATTACTCTGGAAAATATTTCTGAATATGGTTTTACTTCTGAGTACATTTATACAGCATTAAAAATGCCACTGCAAGTTTGCAAAATACAAACCTTTCTACAGATTATTGTATAGTAGTAATGATAAGCTCTCTAGCTTACCTTATCAAAATACACAAATACTGTATCATATTGGATAATACTATGCATTAGACATAAATAGGCCGATTGAAATCCTTCTTTCAGATTAAGAGGTGACAGGTACTGATAAAAATTAAGTAGAAACCAAGCAGGTCAAGGAGTGTTGAATATTTAATAAACTCATTAAGTATTAATATAAAACTGATGCAAATGTAATGTCATTTTAAAACATTACTATGAAGTTATGATTTTGCATTGTATTAACATATTAACTGTTACTGGCTTAGTAAGTGTAAAAATATTTAATGAAAATAAATATAAATTCCAATGGAATCATAAGTAAAATTACTTTTATTTTCATAAATAAAAGATAACTCATTATACAAACACTTTTAGCAGAAATACGTTAGTTGTCAATGCCTAGTATGAAATGTATGTAATAGTTAACATAGTTACATCTCTCTACAACCTTCTTGCAACTTTACTTGATAATTTCCAAAATTTCCAACATGATTTCAACAAATGGGATATTTTAGTCACCAAGTGTTACCTTTTTGAATCAACAGAAAATTACCTGCTCATATCAAAGATGCCTATTGAGTTACAGTAATACCGGTATTTACTGTGTTTTATAGAAGCATTGAGCATATTACACATTTCCATTTGATAAACAGTAGCATAATCTCCAAAAATGTCAATGTGAAAATTTGTAAGTAGGATAATAAGCACTAGCACCTAAAATAAATAGGTCCTATAGGCAGAGAGTAAAGAGCTGGCGTCAAGTACTGTTTAAAGTTTTGTCAGTAAATAGCATATAGCAAACGATGACTTTGTAATAAGGATAATACAAAACAGTGAAATTTAATAAATTATTTTTTCTACAGACAGCAAAATAATTACTACCTACTTATTCTGAAAACTGCAGCTTCAAATATTAAATATTATACTGCAAGAATTAGCATTTCTGTATATTAAGGAAAAACCTCACTGATTTCATGTAGTTTTTATTAAGAAGTATACACTATGACAGATGATTTAAGTAATCTTTTATTTGAATGATTTGATTCAGATAGGCATAATCTACTCGTTCTTCATAATGAAATATACATTTCTATTTTAGCACTTTATGCAGATTTTATTTATTTCTCACAGGGTTGCTGTGTGGATTCAGTGGTTTATCTACATAACTGCCCAGCACAGTACCTAGCACACAGTAATCTCTCAAAATATCTTACTTATTTCTATTAAGTGAATCGGTCTCTGATTTATAATAGAAAAATTATCTAATGCCCTAGAAGAAGAATCAAAAGATAAACCTACAGCTGTGTGACTTTTGTTAAAGCATGATGCTTCCACTATTTCCCAAGTTCGTACCTACACTAATTGTTTCAAATATTACAATCTATTTTTAAGATCATACAGTTTATCTGTGTTTGTTCTCTACATTTTTGTTATGGCCTTTGGCCTAAAGCAATCCAGTCCTGACAGGGTATGTCAGAAAACCATATAAAAACAATGCACACTGAAATCAGGTAACAAAGTCATTTTACTTCTTTACCAAAGAAGTAGAGAATTACCAGTGTAATTCAGGACAACCTATCTCACTTAAGTTTAAAGTTTTTTCTTCTTATCATGCAATATTTGACTTCTTCAAAAAACATTTCCATTCTTACCATCTTCTCTTATATAGAAACATTAAGAGCTGTTACAAAGCTCTGTCCTCTAAGTAAAAAAACCATTAGAAAAAGTACTTGTAAAAATCATTTTGGGTTACTGAGACTTCATGAAGCACAGGGCTACGAGAATAGGGATACCTTCTTACAGGTCTTACCATAACTTAGAAACACTGATTTTTGAGTAAATTATGGATTCTAATAAATGTAAAAGATTTGGTTGGATGGTTTTCTGATCTTTAACTGTAAGTGACCTTTTTCCTCCACCAGAAAAGATAAATAACTCAAGAATATAACAAGTCTGTGCTCCAATTAACACAATGGTGAGAGGAAAGAACTCTGTTAAAACTGACCCCTGCCAGGTGAGATGGCTCATGGCTGTAATCCCAGCACTTTGGGAGGCCAAGGCAGGAGGATCGCTTGAGGCCAAGAGTTCGAGACCTGCCTGAGCAATACAGTGAGACTCTCATCTCTCCAAAAAATAAATAAAAATTAGCCGGATGTGGTAATGTGAGCCCGTACTTGCAGCTACTCGAGATGCTGAGGCAGGACGATCAGTCGTGCCTAGGAGGTTGAGGTTGCAGTGAGATACAACTGCGTCACTGCACTCTAGCCTGGGCAACAAAGTGAGACTCTTGTCTCCGAAAAAAAAAAAAAAAAAAAAAAGAATCCAGATATCAGGAAGTTTAAAAAAAAAAACCAAAAACCCCAAAACAAAAAACAGATTCCTGGCATTCTTCTGATGTTAATAAGACGGAGGAAAACAAACTTTTTGTGAAGATAGAAAAACATACCTGAAATGATATGATTTGGGCCTATAATATATTAACCTGAAACCTATTACTACCCAGTGTTAAAAAAAAAAAAGACCCAACCCTCAAATACACCCTTTAGAGATACAATGAAATCTTTCAGTGTTGTCCTGATTAAAAAGGAGAATTCGAAAGCAAAGCATGTAATATCTCTACTGTATTAAAAATCAAGAACAAATAAACGGAAGGCAGATTCCCTCTGAATGTAATAATTATTCTACAGACCAGAGAAATCATTTCAAGAAATATGAACTCCAGTTCCACGGTTTATCTTATTTACTAATAGAGAAATTCTAAGTGCATATTGTATTTCAGGT